CAAAACTATTCTGTTATAGTGAAATAACAAGTAGTATAGCAAATATGTCACAAAGAAATACACAAAATAGCAAAAAATGAAGAAAAAACTCTACTACTTCTACTACTAGCAATAGCAGTCTCCAAAATGAAATACAAACTGAAGACAATATATTAATGCAACAAAGTGGTGATGCTTCCCTCTCTGAAAAATTGAGCAATCCCATGGCACCTGAGAATTACAATATAACAAATACAAATCGGAATTAACTGCAGCAAACATCAACTAGAAAAAAAAAAGAAATCTGTACTGATTTTCTCATGCTAGATACAGAAACAACAAACTTAGCCAACAGAGAGCAGGTGACCCAAACAACTGAGACAAAGAATGAACTTGCTCTGGTAAGGCAAAATGATCACATGTCAGAAGCAGATTTAGATAATACAATAGAAGATAGTAAAAGTATACATCCTCTTTATAGCCATATTACATCACAAGGCCTATATAGACAAACAACTACTCAAAATAGAACTGACTATAGAAGTATCTAGGCTCAGCAGTTCAAAGAAAGTCTATACGATATCAAAAAAAAGAAACTCAATAGCTATGATGTACAAACTTGGAATTTGAACAGAATCATCAGTTCCTTCATAACAACAGAGACTATGGAAGAGTTAATTAGATACAAACTAGATATACTTCCAACTTTGTTTAATATTTTACATGCTATCAAAAAGAAATTCAAATACTATGATATAGCTTTCTTTCGCTTGTTTACAAGAGTAATAGCTTCTCGTCTAATATACCAGCTCGAGTTTAAATCATTAATGCATAATGCCCTAAAATTATACAAAAAATTACATAGTATCTGTATTATAAACAAGAAAAACAGAGATCAGATTTTCATGAATTACATACAAAACTATCACTAGATATATTTCTAAACTTGGATATAGGAAAACTAGATGCATACGAGATAACTTGACATATCTTCTACTTAATTAACTTTGCAAAAAGCACAACAAAAATGTGTACAAGGTTGTACTCCGGACGATCACGTGATAGTCTGATCGACCACTTCAGAACGCAAAATAAAACTTTAACTTTATTAATCGTTATTGTCGTTATTGTTTAATAATTAACATAAATATAATAAATTTAAAATACATATTTATTCAATTATTTAGTGCTCATTTAATAATTAATCTAAAACAGCTAATTTTGCTTATTCTCAGTAATATTTCTTGATAAATTATGTACTTTTTTGGAAGTTCTTCTCTTTTTGCGTGCACCTATAATAGTCGGGTTAATATTTTTTTGAGATATCTTACGCTTTCTTTGTTGGATGGATGCTGGTTGTACCCAGATTTTGGCACCACTTCGTATCAATTCAGCTTGTGTAGTGGAGTTTCGTTGGTAAAGATAAGAAGCCAACTTTCCGTTTGACAAAAATTTGGCTTTTTCATATCCTTTTTTAAAATTTTCAAGACCTGCAAGTAGTTGACTATTATTTTTTACATTCTCTATAATGCGATTAAAAAAATTTT